TCCTAATGAGCACAGTGGCCTCCAGATGGCTCTGAAGCTCAGACCTGCGCTTATCGTCCAAAACGACAATAACCCTAAGCCCACAGCTGAGATAACAAAGGACTGGCTTCAGTCTGTATATGTCCTTAAGTGGTTCAGCCAGAGCCAAGATACAAATCCAACTAGACATCTTTTGAGAGCTCTGAAACTCCTAGCAGCAGCCAGGACTAGCCCTCAGCCTCCTAACAGTTTCATCGCCTTGTTTTAAAGTTATTGCATTCACTGAATTTTCAGAAAACCTGACCCCTGACCTTGAAGTCAAGGTCACCAGGATTCAAACGAGCCTCTGATTTGTTTTTATTACATGTAACTCTGGTATCAATTTGAAAATCCTACATCGCATTGTTCTCGAGACATCGCATTGACAGTGTGACGTGCACTGAGCTTGGGTCAGATCGGTCTGTTTCCTCCAGGTTCTTCTGCTGGTGCTCTGACTTAGAGGGGTAGAATGAGGCCAAATTTGAGGCAATCTGAGGTCAGATTAAGCCGCTGACTCAGTCAAACGTCCCCAAAAACTCACAGCATGTTCCCGTCTGCATGTCTCAGCACGTCTGGGGCACGGGCCTGACTTCTGAGCACGGGCCCAACAACATGCCATGTTTGACTGATGTGGACAGGCTCACTTTGACTTGGTATTCTACAAAAAGCATGTTGTAGCATTATTTGACATGAGCCCTCCTCCACAGTATGGCTGCCTGCCTACCCTAGACAGTCAGGAACAGACTTTGTTCAATGATCTTGTGTGTGAGGTTTTCAAATATCTTACTGTTGACCTGCAGGAGACCTCTGCTGGGAGGCTTGACGCTGCAAAGCCAATCGCTGCTCTTCTTTTTTGGTGATGAAATGGAGTTTCCTCTGAAGCTGGGTCGCCTCCTCTTTCTGTTTCGACAGCTTCTGCTCTAGAATCTCACACCGTCTCTGAAAGTACGCAGAAGGTTTTTCTTTTACACGTAAACTGCAAACCACTGACACATGAAACATAACATTAATGTTTAAATGTGTGCTCTATAAGAAAACATGCAGTCGATGAAAATAAACAAACACTACACTCATCTTAAAGAGTTCAGGGTAGCCTGTTGAATGTTTGGGAAACAGCTCAAGGTTCAGTGTTAACTTTGGTGACATCATGTAAACTTTAGCAGACACCTGGAGACATCTGCTTATATGAATTATAGTGTTTTTCAGTGTTTTACATGCACAGAGCTGTTCAGCATGACTAAGACTTCCAAAAGAAATTGAATTTACTTGGTGCCGAGTTGTAAGAAGTAACTGTGGCTTCGCGTGCTTGTGCTGTTTGTTTTGACTCTTTGTAAATGCCCTTTTGTTAACGGGAAATTTAAAGACAGTGAAATAAAAAGCTGAATGACCCACGTGTGCGTCCAGTTTTTCCTTCTGCAGCTGCTGTGTGTGGCTGTGCTGCTGGACTGCCTTGCTAAGGTAGCGGTCCTCCAGATCCTGGACTCTGGTCTTCACCTTGTCCAACAGCTCCTCCAGCTCTGTGACCCTCTGACACTGCTGAGCTGCTCGGCTCATGTGCTCCTGAACCTCCATTCTGACGACACACAAAGCAAAGCATCTCTGCACCTGCTGACTGCAGTTTGTGAAGTCCTGAAAGGCTCCTGAATACTTTATGGCAACATGACTTCAAACTTCTATGTAAAATTATTAAAACAGCATCAACGTGT